GTTGAAGTCCACAAGTCTTAAAGTTGCCAAGGTTGGACACCCCTGGTCTAAAATAATTCATTCCATTCAACTCATCTTGGAAACTGCTTGAGAAGACACAGGACAATCCCAATTCTTCAGGAATATCCTCTGTATCACAATTATATCTACAATTTCAGCCAATCCAAGGGAAGCAGAGGCTGAAATATTGTGCAGTTACATAGTCATTCCGAGGAGTGTCAAAAAGAGAGAGATGCCCCTGGGTATATACCATACACTTCAGAGGAACATCCTCTGTTATCACAGAATAGATCTACAACTTCAGTGCAGTCCAAGGGGAAGCCGAGTCTAAAATATCGTGCAGTTGCATGGTCATTCCAAGGAGTGTCCAAAAATGCCCAAAATATATGTAACTCACACTCCAATGATTCTCATTCCCTTTGTGTATTTCACTCCAACTTTGATATAATCATAAATGGAAAATTTGTCCATGGGTAAATGGAGCAAAGTATGGTCCATTCACCCCTTATCTAAACTTCTCAATTTGATTCTGAAATCGTGTATCTGTATGTATTTTTAATTAGGTCATTTGAAGGAATCTTGACTTGTAAGAGTATTTTTATTTTTCAATATTTTCTTACTTTGTTCAACTTACATCCTGCCTTTTCTATAATGGAATTATGGTCCTTCTTCTACCACATTTCGACCTCACAACAACACTGAGAAATTCAGATTGATCTAAGATCACCTTGTTGGCTTCACAATCATGAGGATTTACACTTGTTTCTCCCCAATCCCAGTTTGGCTAGAAAGACGTTTTCAAACCAGTGGTGGGATTCAATCTTTTTTTACTACCAGTTCTGTGGGTGGGGCAGGGCTTGGTGGGCGGGGCTTGGTGGGCATGGCAGGGGAAAGTTACTACAAAATCCCCATTCCCTCGCCATCTCACTAACCTGCTTTCCAGCTCCGTTCTTCTGTGCAGGGCAACCAAAGAAGACCCAGCCATTCAGCTGGGACTCGGGAGGCAGAGAAGAGGTGGGGGCGGGGCCAGTCAGAAGTGGTATTTGCCGGTTCTCTGAACTACTCAAAATTTCCGCTACCGGTTCTCCAGAAGTAGTCAGAACCTGCTGAATCCCACCTCTGTTGCAAAGTCACCGACATGTTTATAAACATTTAAAAGAACAACAAGAACAAACTCTGATGGAGAAAGAAACTGCAATTCTCCATTTTTTCCCCCAATTCTCTTACATTCCAGAAAGTTTGCACACAACTTCCTGAATTATAAACTGTAACATCTGCAAGCCTAATCATTATCACTGACTAATAAAATGTCATAAGTTATCCTGTCTTAAAATTCATCACATGGAGCTTTATCATCTACATTGTTGTAAACTTTAAAAAAAGCTTGATTTCTACTCCAGTGGGAGGAACTCCTAAGCCCATGTTGTAGCAACCTTCTCATCCTCAGCTGAAGCCTAAACAATTACCTCCATCAAGTATCAGCTGGCTTAAGATAAAGCCATCACAGCAAGCATCTTGTTGACAGGTTTGGCGGCAGAAGAGATGAACATCTGTCAAAGATGTACCAGATGCTGATATAACTGAAATGCTGTACACGCCAGAAACAACATCCTGGAAATCGGTCTTCTCCAATGTTTTGACTCCCACCATAGTGAATTCTTGTCCTGGAAACAAAGGGGCAACTGTTTCTAATAGCGTACTCCCTCGGTTGGAACGATTTTGTGAGAATGTCCACACAACACACTGTCAAAATTCCAAAAATCCTTTTTTTAAAAAAAGTTACTTGCTCCTGGCTTGGAGTGAGGTAGAACTTTTTAACTGCTCTCTGTTGCACACCTAGTCCTCAAGTTATGACATAATGGGGCCTGCCCATCGTGATAGCAACTTGTGATGATTGTACGTGCAAGGGCAGGCTGTAAATCATTTTTTCGAGGCCATCATAACTTTAAACCGTTGTTAAACCAACGGTTGCAAGTTGAGGACTATTTATACTGATATTGTTACTTGCATTGCTCTGTAGGCTTCCTTGCTTCAGTGAATTCATTTTTAACCACTGATCTATTTTCACAAACCTATTGTTTGTGAAAATGTAAGCGCCGTGGTAGCACAGTGGCCAGAGTGCAGTACTGCAGGCTACTTCTGCCGACTGCCTGCAATTTGGCAGTTCGAGTCTCACCAGGCTCAAGGTTGACTCCACCTTCCATCCTTCCTAGGTGGGCAAATTGAGGACCCAGATTCTTGGGGGCAAGATGCTGAACTCTGTAAACTACTTGGAGAGGGCTGTAATAGCACTGCGAAGCAGTATATAAGTCTAAGTGCTATTGCTATTCCTACTGATCAGCAGCAAACGTAGGAAAGCAATGAATCAGGTGGTGACAAGGACTTGGCCAGCTTCAGAAGATCATTTAATGCAAGAGCCCCCAACCTGTGGGCCACCTAGTGGCCTGTGAGGCATTTGCAACCTGGCCACGAGAAATGGGCGAGCATGTGTGCATGTGCTCCATTTAAGTGAGTGGCAGGCACGCATGCATGCTGCTCGTGCAAATGGAGCTGTGCATGCACGCTTGCTGGCCTCTTACATGGAACCATTCCCTCTCTCCACCCCCAAAGCCGGACATGTTGGAAAACTTGGATCTAGTGGATCTCCAAATCCCACCAATGTCTTGTGGACCTCGACCTGAGCATCACAGCCTTAAAATTGTTTGGTTCTGCAACCCAACAAGACAGAAACAGACTCTAGAGAGTAATTAGGACTGCAGAAAAAACAATTACTACCAACCTGCCTTCCAATAGTAATACAAAGTCTGCATTACTATTACTATTAATCTTCTCATCATTCCTATTCACCCATCTCCCCCCACTTATGACTGTATGACTGTAACCTTGTTGCTTGTATCCTAATGATTTTTTTAAATAAAGTTTTATTTGGGTTTTCACACATACAAAATACAAGTAAAACATCTTTTTTGAAAATAGCATGGTCCCGGATTGAACTTCTTTATACAGACACAAACTCAATTTCATGCTCATTTTTGTGTTCTATTCCATATCTTATACTATTCTACATTTTCTATATAGTTTTTCCCCTCTGTTAATTTTCTCAATTTTATCTTGATTATCTCATCTCAATTCAAATCATTATATTTATACTTTTATCTGTTCTGTTTCAATTTCATATTATCTTTTCTCATTAAACAAATTTTCTCCTGTAGTTACTAATTGGAGTATGACACCTTTATATCTTTTAATTATATCCATTCAACTCTTATTTATACTTCAATATATACCTTAAGGTTATGACCTTCAATATAATACATAATACATAACTTCCAATCGAATTCTGCTTGGTACATTCTTATAATACACACTATATTCTTTTTTTAAAAAAAGGATTATAAATATATGTAATTATAAACCCTCATTCCATTCCAATTCAGTTCTATCATTAATAATCATTAAAGTCTTAACATCTTTAACATTTCTTTTCAATTAAATATCATACTTCCTTAAAGACACATATAATCTGCATAATTAATTTTTCCCTTATTTCTCTTCACATGTTTTGTAAATCATTAAATATTCATTTTGTTACATTTATTTATTGAAAAGCATTCCACTAAAGTTATGATAACTATTTTATCAAACATTTTAATCATACATTGTTTCATATTTTCTGAAATTATTTCTATTTCTAATATAACAATACTATCTTATGTACCTTTGCAGAATCCCTTTTTCCATTAGATTTTCACCCATTATCTCTAAATAGGCCCTCATGATTTTTATCCTAATAATTTTTATTGACTGTTTCCTAGTATGATTCGATTGCTTATTGTACCTTATGATTATTATTAAGTGTTGTACCTTACAATTCTTGACTCTTGACGAATGTATCTTTTCCTTTAGGTACACTGAGAGCATTTACACCAAGACAAATTCCTTGTGTGTCTAATCACACTTGGCCAATAAAGAATTCTATTCTATTCTATTCTATTCTATTCTATTCTATTCTATTCTATTCTATTCTATTCTATTCTATTCTATTCTTTGAGGACCTGGATACTGCACGACTCAAAAAGAGGGCTATGTAAATATCTACGGACCCCTCACATCCTGGACATAAACTATTTCAACTCCTACCCTCAAAACGACGCTATAGAGCACTGCACACCAGAACAACTAGACACAAGGACAGTTTTTCCCCGAGCGCCATCACTCTGCTAAACAAATAATTCCCTCAATACTGTCAAACTATTTACTAAGTCTGCATTATAATTACTATTAATCATCCCATCCTTCATTTCACCCATCTCCTCCCACTTATGACTGTACGACTGTAACTTTGTTGCTTGTATCCTAACCATTTTTATTGACTGTTTCCTAGTATGATTTGATTGCTTATTGTACGCTAACTATTATTAAGTGTTTTACCTAATGATTATCGACTCTTGATGGATGTATCTTTTCTTTTATGTACACTGAAAGCATTTGCACCAAGACAAATTCCTTGTGTGTCCAATCACACTTGGCCAATAAAGAATTCTATTCTATTCTAAAACATAAAAGTATTGGTGGTCCTCTTTTACACAGACCCTGGGGGTAATTAAAGCACATACCTTTTTTCAGGTACACGCTCAACGAATCTTTCTTCTCTGGGCTTCTCACTTTAATCAGGCAGCCAAGGTTGGCAATACTGGTGGCAAGAGAATTCTCCCAAGCAACATGAACCTAAGATAAAGAAATATTCAGAGAAAGCTAATTTGTAGTCGATGATATGGGCCGCAGGATTGCAGAGAAGAGCAACAAAGATGATAAAAGATCTGGAGGCTAAATCGTGTGATTAATGGTTGAGGGAGTTAGGTTATGCCTAGCCTACGGAAGAGAAGGAATAGAGGGGACATGATAACTGTCTTCCAGTATTGGAGGGGCTGTCACAGAGAACAGTGGATTGACTTAATCTCCAAAGCACCTGAGGGCAGAACAAGAAGTAATGGCAGAAATCTTGTTGGAGAGACATCCAGCCTAGAAGTAAGGAGACATTTTCTGATGGAACAATTAATCAGTGAAATAGCTTGCCTTCAGAAGCTGTGGTTGCTTCATCACTGGAAGGTTTTTAAGGTTTTTACAAACAGCTGTTCCTGTCAAGATGAGATGTCCAGTGGAATCCTAGTCTACGGGTTTACACAGAAGATAATTCCACTGAATTGCTCCATCACTGGAGGTTTTCAAAAATAGACTGCACAACCATTTGACCAGGATGGTATAATCTCTCTTGCTTTGAGCAGGGGGCTGGACAAGAAGACCTCTGAGGTCCCTTCCAGCCCTATGATTCTATGTCCTATATTACAGTGTCATATAGTACATAGTGGTGCGGTGGCCTAGAGGTGGAACTCTCGTCTCACAATCGGGAGGCTGTGAGTTCGATCCTAGGTAGAGGCAGATATTTTCTCTCTCTGGGCACAACTGAGAATATATCTGCTGAACAAAACTCCACATTGGCAACAGGAAGGTCATCCGGCCAGTAAACACTCAGCTCCATTCAATTGCCCAGACTCCGCCCTGCAAGGGATTATGGGGTTGTTAAAAGATGATGATACTTGTAATGTACATGGGATCAAATCCACTCCCATGGCAGGGTTAAGATTAAGTGCTCGGTCTTAAAATGTCTTTTTAATATTAGCTACCATTTTTCACTTTTCAAGCTCTTAATGAAGCCCCATTTGAGCACACTTAAAGAAGGTATCACTTTCAGTTCCCTATCTTATCATCATAAAACAAATGCACGTAGTTACCAGTCCAGAAGTAGAGCAGTTGTAGTTGCTCTCCCGAGCGCTGTACAGCTCACACAACATTTCCGAGCCTATGGCTGACATGGTGAGAAATCCACAGGACTCATCCTTCTCACACTCTGTAAACATCAAAAGATGTGTCAAATGAGCTCTGGAATCAATACCGCTGTCTTTGCTTGAGCAATGAATGCAACCAGCCGTAAATACACTGGCCTTCTTTTAGATAAGGTCCTCTATTCAATTGGACAGCATTTGAGTTTGCATGACAGGTAGAAATTTATACTCCGAGGGTATATCATAAACGGTGAAGTAAATAACATCCTGCTAGAGAGAGGATGGGCTCCAGTATGATCCAAAAGCCCAGAAGACAAAATCTCTGGTCTTCAGATTTGATCCTTCAACATTATCCTGGGATACCAGAGGTGGTATTCAGCAGGTTCTGACCAGTTCTAGAGAACCGGTAGTGGAAATTTTGAGTAGTTCAGAGAACCGGCAAATGCCACCTCTGACTGCAGACTTTACAGTATCCTTCCCCTGCCATGCCCACCAAACCACGCCCGCAGAATCGGTAGTAAAAAAAAATTTGGATCCCACCACTGTGGGATGCATATATTTCCCTTCATTCATTGAAGGCAATACGTAGCTGCCATGAATAGCAACTCCTGACAGCAATTGTTCTGTCCTAGGCCTCAACAAAAAACACTCCGTCAATTCTGAGTCCCGGCAAAAACCTCTTTGTTTACAATAATGTGAATTATTTCATTCGCAGTCAGCCAACAGCTTGGCAAACAGTCTTGCGAAGGTAGACTAATTATCTCAGACTTTTATCAATCCTGGAACCAGTAAATAATTCCACACTCGCTGTTGGCTGGGAAGGCTGGGTTTACAGACCAATCTCTACAAGGCTGGAACAAACAATTGACCGAACGAGCAAGTTGTTTCCTGCAAAAACCCTCTCCCCTTTTGTTCCTCTTTTAATCCTGATGGAAGGGGCCATTCATTGTCCACCTGTGGCCTTGCTCCCAAGTTGACCCTGAGTTCTTAACTGCTCCTTTCTTTTAGCAGCTCTGCACAAGCGCAGGCTTGGAACTGGTTCCAACTGCTATCTGAGCCCGAAGGCAGCTGATATCTGCCAGCCTGCCCTGGCCCCATCTCTGCCTCTGATGCAGATCCCTCATCCGAGCCTTCCTCAGCCTCCAAGACTAGGCCAGATTCCTCCCCAACCTCCTCATTACTGTCCGACTCTGCTGCCAGCTCCGCCAGCTGCCGGTGGCCCACAAGACTAATAGAAGAGAAGATTTGTAGCTCAGGGTTGAACTGTGAGGTCCTTGATGCTCTCTGAGAGCAAACTTCACCTCCTTCTAGAACTGATGATGTCACCTAGTAAGGTAATGAAATGTCTGCAAGAAAACAGCCATGCTCAGAGAGCCCCAAGGACCACACAAGTACTGATACTTTATGCTTTAACTTTTATGATTTTTAACTCAAATGACTACCCTACCTTGCTTAGAAAACTTTAGGTTTGGAAACCAAAAGCATTGGAAACATTCTGACCTGCAACACATTGCTGGAGGGTGTTCATAGGTGTTCCTTGGAGTGTTTTAGTTCTGACCGTTTCCGATTCTTCCGTGGTGAAGATAAGATTGGAAACAGGAACCTTCTCAAAACGTCTGAGGACTGAAATGAAAGAGAGGGTTGGGATGAAGTAGGCTTGGAGGAATCTATGTATCTATACACATAAAAGCTGAAAGGACCTAATGGTAGAGACTGCAACAACGACACTATTAAAGCCAACCTCTTTAACACATTCTCAGGCCCAGTATTTGTAAACAGCAATGGATCATGCCCAGTATTTCCTAGCCGTACCACAGATAACAACAATGATCTAATACATATCGATTTTACAGAAGACAATGTTGAAAAAGCACTACGCAATCTAAAACCATCTCTATCTATTGGACTGGACGGAATATGTGCCTACTTCTTTAAAAAGCTATCCACTGCCATAGCCGAACCTCTAAGCATAATCTTTGAAAAATCTTTCAGGACCAGCTCCTTGCCTAACCTATGGTCACAAGCCACGGTCATCCCCATCTTCAAAAAGGGAGACGCCAGCCTAATTTAAAATTACAGACCAATCTCTTTATGCTGCGTCACCTGTAAAGTCAGGGAACCAATTATTAACCAATCCATCATCCTTGTTAGGGATAACATTGTTTACCCTAACTTGTTTGGGTAAAAATAATAAATAAGGTATCATGGTTTGTTAGTTAAAGTGTGTGTAACTTTAACTGCAAGAATGTAATTAAGGGTGTGGTTGTAAAAGCACTATATAAGAAGCGAGGCATTTGCAGCTCGCTCTCTCTGGCCTACTGATCCCTAATTACTGAATGGATTGATGACTGCGTTCTTGCTGAAACGGGGAGAGAAGAAGGAGTGTTGATTTTTCTCAACGGAGAGAAAATAAAGATTGGATTGATTTATTGTAAGTGTACTGACATTGGCTATTCAACACGGACTTTGCAAATAGAGTATCCCCGACAAGACTTGACTGAAATTGATATATGACTAATGGACCGTTATTTTGACTATGCTATAATTCTTAAATGGAATAAACTATATATTTTGATAGCACAAGCGTATCTGTATTTTTACTGTGTGTTAACTAGAAAACTTATCTCACACATTTACCTGTCTTCCTATCTGACTTCGCTGCACGTTCTATTTAGTTTGTTTTCCTTAACACCCATTGGGGAATCCAGGCTTAACAATCCTCCACTTAGAAACAAACAACCTACTCTCTAATAAAGAATTTGGTTTCAGAAAAAAAAACTATCCTGCAATCTGCAACTCTTACACTGCAAAAACATATGGACTACACAACTCAATCAGGGCAAAGCAATAGACGCAATCTACATAGACTTCTGTAAAGCCTTTGATTCAGTGGTACACGATAAACTACTCCTAAAATAAAAATCTTACAGTATCTCTGGACATCTGCATAACTGGATAGAAACATTCCTGTCAAACAGACAACAAATGGTCAAAATTGGGAGTGTCCTATCAAATTCTGTACCTGTCAACAGTGATGTCCCCCAAGGCAGTGTTCTAGGACCAACTCTTTTCATACTCTACATAAATGACCTCTGTGATCATATCAAGAGCAACTGCGTTCTCTTCACTGATGATGTAAAGCTATTCAACACCACAGACAATACTGCTACCCTTCAAAAAGACCTTGACTATGTATCAGAATGGTCAAACAAATGAGAACTTCAAATTTCAACAAATAAATGCTCTGTCCTCCTATTGGCAAAAAAAAATAAGAAAATAAAATACAGGCTGAATAGTCAAGACCTTGTTGATGATCTAAACTCTGTCAAGAATCTTGGAGTACTCATCTCTAATGATCTAAATGCTAGAGCCCACTATAACTACATAGTCAAACAGGCGTTAAGAGTTGTTAACCTAATCTTACGTAGCTTTTTCTCTGGTAATATTACACTACTAGCTAGAGCATACAAAACATTTGCTAGACCAATACTGGAATATAGCTCATCAGTCTGGAATCCACATTACGTATCTGATATTAACACAGTTGAGAAAGTCCAGAAATATTTCACAAGAAGAGTTCTCCATTCCTCTATTCGTTGCAGAATACCTTATGCCACCAGACTCGAAATTCTAGACCTAGAAAACCTACAACTATGCCGCCTTCGGTCCGATCTAAATATAGTATAAAATCATACATTGCAATGTCCTACCTGTCAATGAATACTTCAGCTTCAACCATAATAACACAAGAGCAAATAATAGATACAAACTCAAGGTTAATCGCACCAAACTTGATTGCAGGAAATACGACTTCAGCAACAGAGTGGTCAATGCCTGGAATACTCTACCTGACTCTGTGGTTTCATCTCCAAACCCCAAAAACTTTAACCTTAGACTATTGACCTCACCCCTTTCCTAAGAGGTCTGTAGGGGGCGTGCATAAGCGCACCAACATGCCTACTGTCCCTGTCCCATGGTGTTTTTTTTTTCTTATATGTATCCATGTATTCATAATTATGTTTTTACTTATACCTATTATCTTATAAACAATTGACAAAAATAAATAAATAAATAAATAATAAAAAGAAATACCACTCACACGTCATCACAAAATCTCCAGAACCGTAAAGCCTACAAACTTGAAATTTGGCACATATGTTCCTCTTGGCTTCTAGGTGCTCACTAAGAAAGGATTTTTTGAAATGACCATCAGAGTATTAGTATTTTATATATTATTATTAACACGCTCTGATGCTAAAGAGTTCTGCTCCCCCTCCCCACCTGAAAAGAAATCTGTTCCAAATGCAAAACACAAGGCGAGGAGAGGAGTTTCAGTTTTAATTTTAGTTTCACAGCAGCAACCAGCTTTAGTACAGAACAGTTGAGCTAAGCCACACCCAAGGCTCCTTGCTGTCTCCTTCTTGCTCTCACAGCAAATACTCTTTCAGCTTCCAAACGCTCTCTCACACGCTGACAGGATGCTAGCCAGATGAATACCGATGGATGCTGGTAGGCAGAGGCAGAATTTTTTCCCCCCTTATTTTCCTCTCAAAAAACTAAGCCCGACCGCATAGTTTCGTAACGAAGCACGGGTATCGAGCTAGTATCCTGATAAAACTAAGGCTGGCAGAGAACCTAGATTGCCATTTTTTCCTTATCGAGTTTTCATTCATTTGGATGAACGAGAATGTCTTAGAATTTTTATTTCCAAGAAGAAAGAGCCATTTTAATGACATTCCAATGGGAAGAGTGTGATGGAATGACGAGCAAATCATTGAGGATATCTTCTCAGGCATCATACAGTACAGGGAGTCCTTGACTTACGACCACAACTGAGCCCAAAATTTCCATTGCTAAGTGAAACACATGCTAAGTGAATTTTGCTCCATTTTACAACCTTTCTTGCCCCAGTTAAGAGAAACGGCTGCACTTGTTAAGTTAGTAACCCGGTTGTTAAGTGAGTCTGGCTTCCCCATTGACTTCACTTGTCGGAAGGTCACAGAAGCAGATCACATGACACCCCCCACCCAAGGCACTGCAACCGTCATAAACACGAGTCGGTTGCCAAGCATCTGACGTTGATTACGTGATCATGAGGACCAATGGCTGTGCGAAAATTGGTGGCAAGTCACTTTTTCCAATGCCGTTATAAACTTCAAATGGTCACTAAATGAACTGTTGTAAGTTGAGGTCTACCTGTTATTTATCTAGCAGAATTATTTATAAAGGGTACCTGACTTTTTCCCATTTCCATAAAATCTCCTTTTCAGTCTTGCAAAATGGATGTTAGCTCTTCAAGTACTCCAGAATAAGAAGCAAAAGGCTACAAACTCCTTGAGTTCTGGGAGAAATAGACAAATATCGACTGCATATCGGACAATAAGACAATTGAGTGGGTTCAGAGGCATTTCTCGAGAAAAGTACTCCACTCCCTCCACCAACAATAGAATTCCCTATGCCTCCAGGCTCGAAATTTTGTGCCTGGACAATCTGGAACTGCGCTGCCTGCAGTCCGATCTAAGCATAAAATTGTTCACAAAATTGTCTGCTATAACATTTTGCCTGTCAGTGACTCCTTCAGCTTCAATCACAATAATACATGGGCAAACAATCAATGCAAATTCAAGGTAAACAAATAATTCCCTCAACACTGTTCAACTATTACGAAGTCTGCACTACTATTACTGTTAATCTTCTCATTACTCCTTATCACCCATCCCCTCCCATTTGTGTCTGTCTGACAGTAACTTTGTCGCTCGTATCCTTATCATTTATAATGACTGTTTCCTAGTATGACTTGATTGCTTATTGTACCCCATGACTATCATTAAGTGTTGTACCTTATGATTCTCGACTCTTGACGAATGTATTTTTTCTTTTATGTACACTGAGAGCATTTGCACCAAGACAAATTCCTTGTGTGTCCAACCACACTTGGACAATAAAGAATTCTATTCTATTCTATTCTATTCTATTCTATTCTATTCTATTCTATTC